TATATATATATATATATATATATATATATATATATATATATATATATATATATATATATATATATATAGGCTCTGTTTGGCAAACCTAGCTGAAAAGCTATAAGCTAGGAGCTGATAGCTGAAAAGGAGCTGAAAGCTTAAAAGCTATAAGCTCGGAGCTGAAAATTGAAGAGCTGTTAAGCTAGCTGTTATGATTGAAAGTGTTTGGTAAATTTAGCTTTTTAATAAGCTGATAAATGTAAAAAGACTAAAAAGAACATTTTCATAAAATATAAATTAGTTTGTTTACATATTAAAATTTAACATTTCGTCTTCCAAAAAAAGTAAACACTTTTTAAAATAAAACTATTAGCATGATCATGATCTAGCATCGCATAATGAAGTAGCAATATTGTTGCGAATCTCCTTCATCTCCATAGAGGTATGACTTAAATTTTCGTTGATGGAGATATTACTACTTGAATCTTGAAGTTCATCGGGCGGTATGTAATCTGGATGCTGCTCAAGCACATTAGACATCATGTCATCTTGTGAATTCTTCTGAATATAATTATGTAGTGCAAATGTGGCCATAATAACATCAATTTGGGGCTCCTCACTAAACTGCGGCATTTTAGCAAGTATATTCCATCTCTTATGCAATACTTCAAACGATCTCTCAATAATAATAATAATAATAATAATAATAATAATAATAACAATAACAATAACAATAACAATAACAATAAGAAGAATAAGAATAAGAATAATAATAATAATAATAATAATAATAATAATAATAATAATAATAATAATAATAATAATAATAATAATAAGGAGGAGGAGGAGGAGGAGGAAGAGAAGAAGAAGAATAAGAAGGAGGAGGGGGAGGGGGAGGAGGAGAAGGAGGGGTTTTAATTCAACATAATTGTTTAGCAGGAAACAAGACTATGGAAGGGATTGACGTGAAAGTTGGGATAGGGGAAGAGAAAGGGTTTTAATTCATAAGGTTAAAATATGTCATTACTTTAAAATAATAAGGGTAAAGATGGAAAAAAAAAGTTAGGAAGCTAGTAGCTTATTTTGAAAAGCTACCTAAAGTAGCGTTCCAAAATAAGCTCTTATTTTAAGCTAGGAGCTTATTTTGGGAACATTACCAAACAGAGCTTATAGCTTGTTAGTAGCTTAAAATAAGCTATAAGCTCCTAGCTTAGCGTTGCCAAACAGAGCCATATATATATATATATATATATATATATATATATATATATATATATATATATATATATATATAGTCACAGGACCAAAAATTTGAAATTTAATCGCCTCTTGTCTATCTACTCAAGTTACCTAATGAAACTAGGTAGTGTTTAAAAAAATATTATCAACCATTGTAACTCTTGACTTTTACTTATATTTAATTAACAATTTTTGATTAAAATATAATATTGCTACACTGATCAACACCAATATAAACAATATCTTCTCTTAAAAGATTGAATCTCTAACCCAAAGACGACTCCCAAATTCCGGCCCGACAGATCATTTGAAAGGATGTAAATCACTGTGACTTACTGAGGCAATATAAACAATATCTAGTATTATAAAATGTACCATTTTTTGTTACACCAAATATATTATCATTTTTATTATACCTTATATTATTAGCAGACTTACACTATACAAGAAAAAAATACTAAGATTTTTTTTTTGAATAATGAATTTGACCTGAAATTGTTGACAAATGCTTGTAGCTTGGGAGACATTAGTTGCAAAGGAAGGGGGTGTTGTTCTACCTAAACCAAGCTGGCATACATTATACAGACACTCAACATTACAGCTTTTCAAAAATGGCCCTTTTTCTAACTTCAAGAATCAAGAGGTTACCAGCTTTTTATGACTACTATTTACAACTTAAGTGCTGACTTTTAGGGCTGTTTAATCAGTTAACCAAACTATTTTAATTGAAATTTTTAAAACTTTAATCGTTAACCGAGTTGAATTTTGTAGTATCGAATTAATCAAGTTGAAATTTTTTATCGTTAATTGGTCAGTTAATCGATTAAACTAATACATATAATAATAAATCTATTGGCACCATGTATAATGTTATTTTATATATATATATATATATATATATATATATATATATATATATATTAAAGGAATATAAAAATACATTTGAATAGGGTTATCCCTGTTCAACTACAGTTGTACTAGGCTTTTTGTATAGGTACTATATGTAGCCTTCTATTTGGACATCTCTTCCTATGTACTGTAGTATTTATATACATGGCTCCACCATTTTTGTATGTGTAATAATATACATAGCTTTGATTTAAAAGTAGTGAATAGCATGGATTTTGTACCCGAAAATTATGTAGTTTGATTTTTGTCAATAGTATTTGAATTGATTCTTGTTACAAATATTGGGAGTCTGGGGTTATATTAGACTATTTGTATTTATGAATGTACAATTCAATGTTGAATTTTGAAGATAAATTGATTCGATTTACCTTCTTATGAGTTTTGATGTAAATTTATGTGTTTCAGGACCTTACGAAGTTGGAAATCTTGAATTATTTAAAAAAAAATGATTATAAATGTATGCCGCATATTTCAATATATCCCAATGTAATTTTCAACCGACACTAACAAAAGTAGATAAAAGAGACCAGAAATTGGTGTTTCATAAATGATATTTTATTGTGTTTACACCATTCCCAAACTAGCAATTTGTACAAATTGTGGTTGTAAATTATTGTAAAAGTGATCTAAATCACATGAGACTTCAGATGTTGTGGATACTTCGATTAAAGACACTTAGAAATGGTGATGGGTAAAAAAAAGTGTAGCAATAAACAATGAACTCCATTTATGAGTTGAATCTGGTGGTAGATATGGTAAGAGATAAGAGATTCACAGTTATTAAGTCAGAATGGGTGAATCCTTATTCTGGTACCTGAAGTATAAAGTTAAGAGTTCAAATATTACGATCCTAAAATTAAAGGCTGGTTGAATGGATGAATCATCGTTCTGGTACTTGAATGTTACGAGTTTGATTATTGTCAACACTCTTTTGATCGAGTCTGTTTCAGTCTTTCTCATGCAGTTAATTTACTCCTATTGTATGGTTTGCATCTTATTAATTACCCATGAGCAAGGGTCTTCATAGTATGATTCACTATCTTTATTACATAGGACTATGTGAGAGTAGCTCTAGTATGGTTTATCGTCTTATTACACAAGAGCGAGCAAGGGTTTTAATTCCTAGTATGACAATTTGCCTCGCCGCATCTTATTACACAAGAATGAGGAACCTGCTCACCTCTTATTACAAATAGGAATAAGGGTCAAATAAATCACCAAATTGTACACCATAATGCAATTAGGTCACCGAACCTAAAAACACTACAATTATATCCCAAAATTAACTCATTTCATGCAAATTGTCCAATTTCCTAATTTCTAACAGGTTACCTAATTTAAAAATGTTTTAAAAAATGTTTTTTTTTAAAAAAAATAATTTTAAGTAAAAAAAACAACCTAGCCATAAACGAAGAAACCTTCTTTGTCTGAAGAGTACAGCCATGGAGACAAAGAGTCTCTTCTTCTCCCGGGGGAAATGATGAAACCTTCTTCGTCTCCTTTTATGGAGCTCCGACAGAGATAGTTTTTTTTTTCTTTCTCATAAATAATTATTTTAAAAATATTTTTAAATTGAGAAACCTGTTAGAAACGGAAAGATCAAACAAATTACATGAAATGAGTTAACTTAGGCATTCAATTGTAGCTTTTTAAGGTCCAGTGGCCTAATTATCAATGCACACTTTCAAATAAATAATAAATTAACCTGAGGGGTGTGGTTAAGTTGAAGTGACTCATCCATCATTAATCAAAGGTTAAAGGTTCGATCATTGACTTTGAGTATGAAATATCCTTAAATCTTCAGGCCAGCTGTCCCATCCAAAAAAGGTGTCTACAATCCAACGAGGTGATTATATTTTGTGTCCGACAATGAAAAATTTAGGTATAAAAAAAATAATTTTATTACGCGATATTTAAAAATCAGTACAGTACGATTTGACATAAAGCCTTGAGGATAATGCGTTGGTGTAAAAATGTAGAAAATATTACACAATTTATGGCATGCTGTTATTTGATACTCCGTAGATTAAATGTTATCAAATCAAAATCCACGTTTGATGTCAGATTACGGTGATTTGACACTGTGAAACTGTGCAAGTCAGTAATCACACACCCAAATACAGAAATACTTCAACTGTTAAACCTGACGTTGATTTCAAAGTTTTACCGTCTATAGTAATTATAAGGGTAGATTCGAGTCTTAATATCGAACCTCATAGTTGCATTAACGGTTGTTTATTACTCGTTTGAAACTGTTAAATTATATAGTCACATGTTTTTAACTCATAAAGAACTCTACAATATCCAAACAATTAGAATATCCCAAACAAAAAATCTATGACACAATATTGTAAATAAAATAATAATTTTACTTTCACTATTTATAAAATTATAACGAATTTTGTTTTTAAATTCATAGTATTAGAGTAGTTTGACAATTTTTAATATTATTTTTTCAAATAATATAAGAGAGGTAAATCATACTAAGAAGAACATGCAGTTAACTCGTCTCAGAATGTGTGAGCAAGAATCAAACTTGTGACTTTCACATATGAAAATCATATATATATATTTTGGATATAATAAACACGGAAACATACAGAAGTCCAAACTCGATTTCATAAAATATATATAGAATTTTGTAAAACTCGTATTTAATGAAAGTGTGAAAATATAATTACACCGGAATAAGAAATACTGAATTTTTTATATATCAAAAACTTGTGCAAAATGGTCTCACGAATCTTTTTCAGTTAAACAAGTTAGATCAATATGAAAATGTAATACTTATTACGAATTTATAAGGAAAAATATAATATTTTAATAACATTAAACAACCTCAATAAAAGGAATTTTAAAAGCTGATGCTTTGGAGCTTTTCTTTCACACCCCATCACTCCACTAGTATCACCACCACCACCGCCACCATCTCCTCCCTCCTCCGCCTCTCTCTCTCTCTAAAAGCTCACACGAATGCGCTAAATTCACTTTCTCTCTCTACACCTGAGTTGTTAAAGACAAGCTAAACAGATCTCAGCAGTCAGCTCAGAGCTAACGCGCGCGCACATACACACTCTCTCTCTATATGTGTGTGTGTAATGTGCTTGTCTTCCTAGCAGAGCAATGTGTTTGTCGTTCTAGAAGGCGCACCGAGTCGTGACTCGCCGAGTGGTGAGTCGAATTTTTCCGTTTCCTCGTTTTAACGGATTTTCTGATATTTTTTGTCTGTTTTCCTTAGCTTTTTGCTGGTTTTGTGATGATGGAGTCTCTGACTCGCCTTAGATGCTTTAGACATGGCTTTTTGATCACATTTATTCACTCCGTTTCTTTTCTTCTGTGTTCCGAAAACCGTGCTTTTTCTGTTCACATTTGAATCTTCTCTCTTCACTGAGGCTTCAGCCTTTCTCTCTCTTTTGTCGGTGCGGTTTTCTGATGCGTTCACTTTGTTATGAATCATTTTTTTTTTTTTTTTTTTAATTTCAGCTTGAGTTTCTGATTTTAGTGACAACTCTTTGGAATTTCGTTATATTTTTTTTTTCGAATTTTGTAGTTGAAGGAGCTCTGCATTGATTGAATTAACTCTGTACTTTGATAACTAAACTACTACATTCTCTCTTTATCTGAGTGTTAGGGCGTGATGTTTGAAGGGAATTTTCAATGATTTTGGTTGTCGGTCAGTTTATTTATATGGGGATAAGGATTAACGTTTCTGAATTCTTGCTTATTTGTCATTGCTTTGACTGTATATATTATATAATCTGCAGTTTTGTTTGAAAGGCGTTCATGTGTCACTTCGAAACTTAATTTATTTTTCCTGGCGCAAGCATTGCAAGTATGGAAATTCTATGGTTAGATTGTTTCTGACTTCTTGTCTCAGTTGTTTGGTTGGGATGCCGTTCATGTGTCACTTTGATTCTTAATTTTTTTTCTTGGACAAACATTGAATATAAAGGTTTGGAAATTTGAAGGTTCATCTGTTTCTGACTTCAAAGGTGGAAAATTCTTGTTGTGTTTGTAATTGTAGTGGTATAGCCATTGTTGGTTGAAGTGTTCTCTGCTTTATCAACAATTATTGATGAGTCTGTTCTGCAAGAAGACATAAATGAAACTATTTTGGTACGAGCTTAAAGGTGCCTCCTGCAGTTAGGGTCTGTTCAAGACACCTTGTGGTCTAACAAAAAAAACGGAACTACTATATCTGAGTGCCATTTTTAGTGCTCCAAGTATCTTTTTGGTTATGATTTTTAATTTCTTGCCAATTAAAGTTCATTTTGTGACTTGTTTGGTTGGAGCTAGCATGTATGTGCACGTCGTGCCATCATTATCTCAGTTCCTTTTCTTGATAGAGTTCAATTTTTAGAATGTTGTGTAACACAGACTGTCTAATATCTATTCCTGGAGGTAGATGATCTTACACTTAAGTAGGATGTTACACTTAATTAATTCTGGGGCCTTCTGTGGTTATGGTGGTAACTGTTTGTTGTTGAGTATCTGTGCATTTATGCTATGAGTTCAGCTTCCATTTTTTTCCATTCTTTCTTAATTTTTCATTGTTCTTTTTCCAGACATAGTTACGATCTTGCATCAGTAATACTCTATAATGGACCGGAGGAGTTGGCCCTGGAAGAAGAAGTCTTCTGATAAAGCATCAGTTGAAAAAGCTGCAGTAGCTATACTGGACTCAGCTGCGGCGACTACAGATTCACATGGATCCCAGGGTGATCAGGTGAATATGTGTGAAAGTTCTTTTCAAGAAAATATTTCTTGATCTAAGTCTTCTTTGCAATTCCATTCTTTTTATGCCTTCGTATCTATAATAGCTACACTGAACAGTTCCATGTGTTCTGTCATTACATTGTTCCTTTATTTTCTCAGGGAAAACAGGATAACTGTAAGAAACCAAAATATGTGCAAATATCTGCGGAGTCGTATTCACATCTGACAGGATTGGAGGATGAGGTGAAGTCCTATGAAGAACAGGTTAAGACGTTAGATGAGGAGGTTAAGGAATTGAACGAGAAGCTGTCTGCAGCAGAAGCTGAAATCACTAATAAGGAGAACCTGGTGAAGCAACACGCTAAAGTTGCTGAAGATGCTGTCTCAGGTTTGATCTCGTGTGTACTTATGCCATTGTTGCTTTAAGGAATTATTTTATCAGCTGCAGAGTTTCAGTTTGGCTATTGTTTTCATAGGTTGGGAAAAGGCGGAGTCAGAAGCTGCTGCGCTGAAAAATCATCTGGAATCTGTCACTCTGTTAAAACTTACTGCTGAAGACCGAGCTTCGCACTTGGATGGTGCACTTAAGGAGTGCATGCGTCAGATACGGAATCTGAAGGAAGAACATGAACAGAAACTGCATGATGTTGTTCTTAACAAAACAAAACAGTTTGACAAGATGAAGCATGAGCTAGAAGCAAAGATAGCTAATTTAGACCAAGAATTACTGAGGTCTGCAGCTGAAAATTCTGCACTTTCAAGATCTTTGCAAGAGCGTTCCAACATGGTGATTAAGCTTAGTGAAGAAAAATCCAGAGCTGAAGGAGAAATTGAACTTCTGAGGAGTAATATTGAATCGTGTCAGAAGGAGATAAATTCACTCAAATATGAACTTCATATTGCTGCAAAGGAACTGGAAATCCGAAATGAGGAAAAAAATATGAGTGTGCGGTCTGCAGAAGTTGCAAACAAGCAGCACCTGGAAGGAGTCAAAAAGATTGCAAAACTGGAAGCAGAGTGTCAAAGATTACGTGGGTTGGTTAGAAAGAAGTTACCTGGCCCTGCTGCACTTGCCCAGATGAAGCTTGAAGTTGAGCACTTAGGCCGTGATTATGGAGAAACTCGATTGAGGAAGTCTCCAGGAAAGCCATCCAGCCCACACCTATCCACTATGCCTGATTTTCCGTTTGACAGTATGCAGAAATACCAAAAAGAGAATGAGCTTCTAACAGAACGCCTTTTGTCAATTGAAGAGGAGACAAAAATGTTAAAAGAAGCTTTGGCAACGCGTAACAGTGAATTACAAGCTTCCAGGAGTACTTGTGCACAGGCTATCAGTAAACTTCAAAGTTTGGAAGCACAGTTGCAAGTGAATGGTGACCAGAAAAGTCCTCCAAAGTCCAACATTCATATCCCTAAGGTGGGTTCCTTCAACCAAATTGCAAGTAGTCCAAGCTTCACCTCTGTGTCTGAAGATGGAAATGATGATAATATAAGTTGTACAGGGTCCTGGGCTACAGCAGTGATATCAGGACCCACTCATCCCAAGAAGGAAATGAACTTTGACAGTCCACATAAGTCTGAAAATGCAAATCGTTTGGATCTTATGGACGACTTCTTGGAGATGGAGAAATTAGCATGTCTTCCACCTGATATAAATGGAAGACTTTCAAATTCAGACCATACTGGGTCTGAAATTGAGAGGACTGATGCCCCATCCGAAGTCAAGCTGGGTTTGACACCTAATCATCAAGAAGTTTGTGAACCATCCGCACTTATGAAACTCCAGTCCAAAATTTCTGCAGTATTTGAGTCAAATACTGAGAAAGTCGACTTGCAAAAGGTCTTGGATGATATCAGGGATATTTTGCAGGAAATGCAAGATCATATTAAGCCCCAGTCTGCAACATGTGCTGTAGAGGCTTTGCATCCTTCTGATGCTTTAAGGGAACATCAGCCATGTCTTGAGGATCCTGATGCAACTACAGAAAAAGAAATTTCAGTTTCTCAAGACAGTAACTTGAGCACCGTGGTAGTTCATACTATTAACCAGGAATTAATGGATGCTGTGTCTCAGATTCATGACTTTGTAATGTTCCTGGGCAAAGAGGCTAAGGCTGTGCAGAGTACTTCCCTGGATGGAGATAAACTACATTTAAAATTGGAGGAGTTTGCCTCAACGTATGCAGAAGTTGTCAACTGCAGGATAAGTCTTGAAACATTTGTTCTTGATCTCTCTCATGTGCTTAATAAAGCAAGCGAACTTCAGTTCAATATTCTGGGATATAAAAATTCTGAAAATGAGATTAGTTCTTCTGATTGCATAGACAAGGTTGCTTTACCAGAGAACAAAGATTCACAGCACCTAGGGGAAGCATATTCGAATGGTTGTGCCCAATTTTCTGATTCCGTTTCTGATCCTGACATTCCTCATGATGGGAGTCTTGTTCCTACTTCTGAGTCAACTGCTGCATCGTGGAAATGTTCATTGGAGGAGTTTGAACAGTTGAAACTTGAGAAAGAAAACATGGTGGTCGACCTAGCTAGATGTACTGAAAATCTAGAAAGCACTAAACTACAGTTGTCTGAGACAGAGCAATTACTGGCAGAGGTTAAGTCCCAGTTAGTATCTGCACAGAAGTCAAACAGCTTGGCTGAGACTCAGCTTAAATGTATGGCAGAGTCATATAAATCACTTGAAACACGTGCAGAGGAGTTACAAACTAAAGTAAACCTTCTTCAGGCAAAAATAGAAACTCTGGATATTGAACTTCAAGAGGAAAGAAAGAGTCATAATGAAGCTCTAGTCAGATGCAAGGATCTTCAGGAACAACTTCAGAGGTGAGCTTATTTTCTTTAATGTTGTGCTCTTTTGTCTTTTATTTGTTTTCTCAGTTTATTATCTTATTTGTGGTATGATGTTTTTAATCAGGACTGAAACTTTGGCAGCTGAGATTGATGCCAAGAAAAGCCAGGTGAGCAAATCTTGCACTTAATGAGTGTTGATACCCCAGCATCTATTCCTCTTATTAGTCCTCAAACATCTGTTCTTTCTCCCGAACTAGCTAGTAAAGTGATTGTAATATTGTATGCTGCTGTTATTACTTATTACAGGAGAAAGAGTTAGAGGCTGCTGCAGAAAAACTTGCAGAGTGTCAGGAAACCATATTCCTTCTCGGCAAGCAGTTGATGGCTTTGCGCCCTCAGGCAGACTCCTTGGCATCTCCACAGAGCGAGAGAAGTCAGAAGGGGGAAAGCCTTAACGAAGAAGAACCGCTTACGATAGCTATGGCCTTGAATGATGCCAATCTCACAGATGTATCTAGTGGCTCACCTGCCAATCACCACAAGCCAAACTGTGAGTCACCTGTGGATTTATACAACGCCGCCTCAGATTCTGAATCAGATAACCCATTGACTCACTATTCGACCAAGTCAGGTTCCTCTTCATCTTCTGGCCCAACTCCAGAAAAGCAATCTCGTGGCTTCAGCAGATTCTTCTCCTCGAAAGGAAAGAACATGAATTAGGCTCTCGGAGCTTTAACAGCATGCTGTTCATAATACAACCCACACAATAAATTCTGAACTGGAGTCCTGTAGATAATCAAGTTGCTCTTCCTCAACCTCATTATATATAGTCATCATCCAAACCGGGCAATCCCATTCACCTGCAGAATTTCAACAACCGGTGGGCGCCAAGAGTGACTGATTTTGGAATGTGCTCGTTGAGGATAAAGGTACAAAACAAAACACCTTCAGTTCATCATGTGAAGTTGCATTAGAATTTATGAAACACATCTCATCTTCATGAAAGTTCCCAATATTTTATCTTCTTGTCCTCATCTCACTGGATGCTTTATGGTTACTGTGTGATAGTTTCTGTACTAAATGGCTGTATATGATGTATGTGTTTTCTTACCCCCCTCATCTTGGTGATGCAACTAATAAACACTACTTTCTTTGATTTACGGGAAAGCTTGTAGTAGCTATCAAAGGTGTGTTCTGAGTGAAGCTCGTCTTGTGACTTTAGCTAACAAAAGATAATAATAAAGTAAACCAGCTTAAACTGTACATAGTTGGTCCGTTTAAACAGAAAATGCCAACAGGTGAAACACTACTTTATGTTAGCTAATTATATTTGCTCAGTATTATTTTTGAAGTTGTGAAAATATAGATGATCCCCTTAGCGAAAGAAGTGATCGAGTTCGAGTGCCTCGACGACAAGCTGTTAGAGGAGCAGCTCGCCGGTTGCCAATAGATGGAACACAAGCAGTACAGTGGCGTCGTCTCCTGGTATTTCACCTCATCATTTTTTCGGCGAGCTTCCTCCATTTTGTCACTTTCCCTTGTTCGACCATAAATACAAAGACGAAATTGTCCCTTAGATTAAAGATTAATTGACTAATTAAATTTTCCGGTGAGATTTAAATAATTAAGGTACTAAATTTTTTTTTTTGAAAGTTACTGGCTCTATTACATTGTAGTATCTATTCATATACTTTCTCAACCTACTGAAACACAAAGAACCAATAACACCTCCACTGAGGCTTGAACTCATAATCTTCCAAATGGAAGTCCAACCCGAATACAATTAGACCACATAGTCCTAGGTACTAAATTAATAATTTTAAAAGTCGTAAATTGTAGTTAACAAGACGCAATAGTCATAGGACCAAAATTGAAATTTAGGTAAAACTATTAATTTGGATTATCATACAAAATCGAGTTCAAAAAAAAAAAAAAAAAAAAAATTGTTAAAATTGATAGTGGCCCGGATCCATATTTTTCTAGTGGGACTTTGGGCCACGTGAGAGATGGCCCATATACCCAATAAGTGGACGCAACATTCGATGGCAATTTATATCGTGGACCAAATTCTACCGTGCACTGTGAATCCTAGTTCAATACACATAATTTGACTTCATAATGTATAGAATTCATGTTTATAATGTATAAAATTTGTGTTTATAGGCTCTGTTTGGTGGAGTTTATTTAGGAGCTTATAGCTTATTTTAAGCTACTAATAAGCTATAAGCTCTGTTTGGTATTGTTCCCAAAATAAGCCCCTAGCTTAAAATACGAGTTTATTTTGGAATGCTACCTTAGGTAGCATTTCAAAATAAGTTCCTAGCTTCCTAACTTTTTTTTTTTTCCATCTTTATACTTATTATTTTAAAGAAATGACATAATTTACTCTTCCCAATTAAAAGCATTTTCCTTCTCCTTTATCTGCAACTTTCACCGCAATTATTATTATTATTATTATTATTATTATTATTATTATTATTATTATTATTATTATTATTATTATTATTATTATGAGATTTGCAACAATATTGCTACTTCATTATGAGATGCTAGATCATGATTATGTTAATAGTTTTATTTCAAAATGTTAATTTTTTTTTAAGATAAAATGTTAATTTTAATATGTAAACAAACTAATTTAAATTTTATGAAGATGTCCTTTTTAGTCTTCTTGCATTTATCAGCTTATTAAAAAGCTAATTTTACCAAACACTTTCAATCATAATAGCTCTCCAGTTTTCAGCTCCGAACTTATAGCTTTTCAGCTTTCAGCTCCTAACTTATAGCTTTTCAGCTAGGTTTGCCAAACAGAGCCATAATACATATACACATAAACACGATATAATGAAGACATATAAACACTTAACATAATACACAGAATTCATATTTATAGTGTACAGAATTCATGTTTATAATGCACAGAATCTATGTTCATTATATCATGTTTATGTATATATGTATTATGAACACAAATTCTGTATATTATAAACATAAATTTTGTACATTATGAAATCAAATTATGTATATTGAATCAGGATCTATAGTACAATGTAGACCAGGATATAACCATTGACATTCAATCAGGCAATATCACGTGTTTAAGGCTTTTCAGAGACCCCTCCGCATTGAATTCTTTTGACATAATTGAGGTTGAAGAATATATAGTTATATTCAGATCCGAGTCAACCTTGCAGTTTAAAATTTTCGTCTAAAATTTTTACCATTCTTTAATGAAAATCTTTTAAATGATAACCATATTGATTTTGTTTTCAATTGAGTTAATAGCAGAAATAGTCTTCTTAGTATAGGGGTAGTACTCTTTTTAGTCCTCAACTTTCAATTCGATCCAAATACATACATGAACTTTTATTTTTGACCACAAATAGTCCTCCGTTAAGATTTTTATTAAATAAGTGTTAAATGTAAATGTATTTTCGTCAAATCAATATTTTCTGTATGTAGGTGGTTCTCAGTGGCAAGATGCTTCTTTGTCTGGATATAAGGGGGTGTTTGGTTGGATGGAAAACATTTTCCATGGAAAATGTTTTCCTAAAAGTGAAGGAAAATGATGTTTTATGTTCTTTGGTTGGATGGAAAACTTTTTCCATTGGAAAAAGTTTTCCTTAAGAACAAGGAAAACAAATTCCTAGCTTATGCTAGGTATTTTGTTTTCCATGAAAAACCTTTTCCATGAAAAATTAATATGACAATTTTACCCTCACCATTCTTTATTAATTACTCTTATTATTATTATATTATTATTATTGTGTAGGGTTATATTTGTCATTATACTCATTATTCCTTACCCTTCCAAACTCAACCAAACAATGGAATTCATATTTCCAGTAATTTCTTTTCCACCAACCAAACAATGGAATCTGTTTTCTTGAAATTTATTTTCCATGGAATTTCAATTCCATTTCCCTTCAAATATTTTTCAGCGAACCAAACGAGCTGTAAGAGTGTGGATGACTATCTTGGTTCTGAACTTGTTTTACTGATCTCACATTTTCAAAATCATTCTTAAATACAATACTCTGAAGAAGCCTTTCGTGAACGTCTTGCCACTGAGAACCACCTGCATATGGAAAATATGGATTTGATGAAAATACTTGGCCCTTACATTTAACACTTATTTAACAAAAATCTTAACGGATGACTATTTGTGATCAAAAATAAAAGTATATTTGTTTTGGTCGAATTGAAAGTTGAGGACTAAAAAAAGTACTACTCCTATAGTCAGAGGACTATTTATGGTATTAACTCTTTTCAATTTTTAAAAATAAATTTATAAATACATAAAATTAGTACTATATAAATTTAGTTTATAAAAGTTACTACTGTAAATTAATACATAACTTCACTATTACTAATGCTATTTTTATCTACTTACATTAATCTATTTGCTGTTTTTCAAAAAAAAAAAAAAAAAAAAAAAAAAACCTACCATGTAAGATAGATCTTGACCTAGAATATAATATAATTTGTGTATGTTGGACATACATGTCTAATGTCTTCCCCACAGAAAATCTGACCTCCCAACATCTGTGGCTATTGCTGTCTATCAATCTATCAGAATATATATAATCATTTACGCAGTATTTATTATGCATGTGATGAAGGTGAAAGCAAACATATTATTAGATTATTAGGATATTGTGTATTCTTTGCACGGATTTAGTTCACTAGCTAGTTCAGCAAGCAGTATTTGGAATACGAAGCCTATTAGTGTATAATTATGACCCATACATTAATATTTATGAGTACATCAAAACTTTTTGTAGTTTGTGATTTTAACGCGATAGGTGTTTAACATTATCTCTTTAGAATTATTGTAACGTATATATGAAGAGTACCCGATTCAAACTTTAATAATTAGATGGCCTAGCAATGCATGGGATTAGGGGCAAGTTGGTTTGTGAGTGGTGGAGACTTCGTCGAAAGGGGATCAAGATCAAGTTAAGGATGACGACAATTCGATCAACTTAGATCTGGTTTGAATTTTTTTCGTAGAATAATGAAGGTTAGAATGGCCTGGGGAGAGAGTGTTTCCAACCCTACTAATTAAGAACAAGGACAGAGACAAAGATGAGGACCATATCGTACCCCTTGACTTCGACTCTGAACTCGATCAAACCCCGTTTCTTCGAATATATTATATATTATATTTGTTGAGCATATAGCCATTAATGTGCAATCCAACTATCAGTTTAGACTTTTAGTTTAGATGGAGCACATGCTTCAATTTGATAAGCCAGACAATCTTACTGTTACTCATAAGCAACTACGGTCCACGTGTTGAGCATATAGCCACTCATAAGCAACTACGGTCCACGTGTTGAGCATATAGCCATTCACATGCTTCAATTATATTTATATAATTATTTGTAAAATTTATATAGTAATACATTAAATATTAAATTAAAACATTATACTTATTAAAACATATATACTAACTCGCTGGCCTTTTTGTAAACCATTTGAAATTATGTTAACTAAAAATTTGGACATGTTATCAAATTGTTTGGACGCACTATTTGGTTAAGGATTTGAACATTTTGAGTATTTGGATCTGAATGAAATATTAGAGCATTATATTGAAGAAGTAACATTATATTGCATGGACCACTTGAGTATATAGCACCATAAGGAAGAACATAATGGATCCACTAAAATCTTTGATACATCCAACATGTTTTAACAAGATCAGATTATCTTGTCTATTACATAATTGTTTATACATCTAATCAGGATTTAGGCATGAGAGACGTAAAATTTGATAGAAAAATAATGATTGAAATATTTTCAATGGGATAAATTTTATTTGAGTTAATACTCAATCTAGTTCTCGATTATTGTGATTTTTCTCGATTTAGTTCTAAATGTCTTTTTGTGGTTAATTTGGTCCTTGACTTTAATAATTTAACCTAATTGAGTCCTCTGTAATAATAGTTTGGTAATTTCCCATCTTTTAATACCGAATTTAGTTTTGACTATAGTGATTTTATCAAAATTAGTCTTCGACTATAGTGATTAATGTCCAATTTAGTATAAGGTCCACTCCCACTTTCCTAATTGGATTTCCTTGGTCAAGTCCATCTCTTAATTATTCTTTGGACCGTACCCTAGACCCATCTATATATAACTTATCATCCAATTAAATTACATCTTAAATCTAACTATCTGATCTATTAAATAAATATGGGAACACGCAATTGATAAGTGGATTGCTAATTCCTAAAAAAAAAAGTGGATTGCTAATTCAATTATAATATTGAATGCTTACTTTTGTATGTGTATGTACTTGCTAGATCTCTTAGCCATGCTTTAAAAATTAAAAAAAAAATGAGACACCTATATTAAATTTGAATTAGTCCTATAGTGATAAAATTATTGGATACTTCGTGTAAATAAATACGGAGTGGTATGGTTTTAAAAAAAAAAATAAAAAAAATACGGAGTGGTATGTTTTATAGGAAAAAAAAATGGAGTGGTATAAATACTAATAATATATAATTAGTGTGGTTCGTGAGTGGCCAATGAGGGATTGAAATTGCATGCTATATGTGATATATTCGATCATCAAGAGAAATTTTCATGCGGACTAAATGGCAACACACATGAATTCATTGAATTGAAGAGGCCATGGGACAATTTGGTTTGCGATTTGTGGAACAAATATTATATATTAAGGCTTTAATTAAGTGGTAAGTTGACTAGCTAAGCTTATTGAGTAGTTTGATGGGATTGGATAACTAAAAGTTATTATTCACTCAGACTATACGCCTAACATAAATTTGGATTGATGGGATACATGATATTCATTATATAGCACATTCAGTTACGGTACTCATACTGCTCAGTGGCAACACAACAAGAATATCAACTGTGGCCGGAGACCAACGCTGTTTTCACTTCCGCTTATTCGAGGTCAGGTTTCTCCAGTACTATTATTCTGTATCGTTAGATTATTTATATCTAACAGTCTTTTCAAATGGTGATTATATAAGTATGACTAATCCACACTATTGTAGTTTACATGGTGCATTTTTATATTCACATATATATGTTGTACAATTGAACGCGTATTCTCATGATCACCCGATGTGACTCATATATAGCTCGTAAACATACATATATATGGTAGGTGTAGGGGTGCAATTAATTTAAGAAGGGAGGCCATGCATATATATAGTGTGGGGTGTGGATTATCTGAGGACCACCACCCCAATATCGAAATGGTAGCATCTCCTCCCCATTTAGTGGCGCCGGCCATGGCACAATTGGATCCCATATATATATATATATATATATATATATATATATATATATATATATATATATATATATAGAAAAACGCTCATATGTGGTCATGTCATTAGGTGTGGTCGTGTGGTCGTATCTGTGTCGTTGAATCAGTTTAATCTAAAGGCGGTGGTAATTCTGAGAATTTTCGCGCGTTTTAGTAAGTGGGGGTGTTATGGTAATTACAGTGACCATTTATAGCGGGCAGGTTCCAGAATACACCAATAGTGTTGACAACATACACCAATAGTGCAATAAAACACACCACAATGAAACACACCAATGATGTATTCCCGTGTTATGGTAATTACAGTGGCCATTTATAGCGGTCGAGTTCCAGAATACACCAACAGTGTTGAAAACATGCACCAATAGTGTAATAAAACACACAACAATGTGATTTTTCCTATTCCGGTGTTTTATGACAAGTTTACCCTTACAGTTCGCTGGGTAGTAGAATGTGCGTGAAAATACTGGAAAAAATCTTGATTAATATGATTCATTAGATCTATCTAATCTAATGGTCTATAATTGACCATATGACCACACCTAATAACATGGCCACTTATATATATATATATATATATATATATATATATATATATATATATATATATTATATAAGTGGATCATATATACATGTGTGAGTATAATTGTAAGATTTTGATTTGCATGGGTAAGTGTGATGTGAAAGATAACAGAGAATCAGATATCCCAGTATAGTCCTCAATTATTTACCCCCCAAATATAGCATATACAGCTTAGCTTGCTGGATCCACGTTAATTATGATTTTCAAATAATGTTTTATTCGATTTGATTTAGGTGATTTGGAGACAATCAATCCATGTAAAGTGACAATGTTTGACAAAGTCTTGACATACTAAGAAAAACTCACTAACATTAATAAGTCATTTTTTATGTCACTGATTTTTCTTTGGAAGTTGTCAGATGAACCCTAACGAGTTTTGGGGCTCAATATATTGAATTGACATGTTGATGAGATTAATTGTAACTTTTAAAAGCTTATAAATCTAATTCATTTCTCGTATAAAGTTCAATTCGGAGGTTTATTTGAGCTCATTTCCTTATTCAATTAAAATATTTGATGTTTAGATAGAAATTGTGTTCATTAATATTACTCTATGCTAAGCCACTCTACAAACACAAAATCTAATTTCCCGGCAGCTAAAAGTGTACTACGTATCGATCATGCATGTCTATTTGTCTAGTGAACTAACTTCCAATTCTAGCTGCATTATATTGCGTACTACTCAAGTAAACCCCCAACTTTACTTATTTTTATGAGTTCTACTACATGTACTCCCCAAATTTACTCTCTAAATTTTACTCCCTGATGTGACAGATTTTGATAAGTTATTTATTTATTTTTTTATGTGAGACCCAATACAAGTGTCTACATAAGGTTTTGTGTTTGGGAGTACAAGTTGGGAATACAAAATGAGAGTACATGTAACATTTTCCTATTTTTCATAGCTCTACATACATTCCTATGAAATATTAAACGTATTTTACGACGTTATACCTTATTGTTAAGTTCTAAAATCAATACTTATTAGTTAGATTAATTAGTTACCGATTGAATGGTTAAGAAAAAAAAAAAGTTACCGATTGAATATTTAATTAAAGACAGATATAGCCAATAATCGAATTTGTGGGGCAGGAAGTGACTCTCCTAAATGGGAGGCCATGAATTCGACCTCGGTGACAGTTTGATATTAAGGATTTTTGAGTCAATTATTATTAAATTGCATAAAGGCTTAAAAGATTAAAAGGGCTGAATTTGTACACAAAACGCTAAAGTATTTGTGAATGATTGAATTCATTGTTGAGTGTTAAAACTCATTATGGTTATGCATTGTTGGATAAATTATGTTCTTGTTTTGGCAAATGGAAGTAGAATGAGTGACATGATATGACTTGTATTGGCGAGAGGGGCCAATTATGCTTTGGACTCGGGTCCAAAACAGAGTCCTTTTACTTTAAAATGATGTCGTCTGAATTTTTTTTTTTATAAAAAAAAAAAAAGAAGAAGCTTCCTTTCTTGTCATTAACTTGTCATTTGTCTTTAAAATTCATTCCCTTATATTCACAATTTTTTTAACTCTATATTCATAATTTTAGAATTGAATATTCACAATTTTTTAACTCTATATTCACAATTATATCAACAGTATAACACAATTTTTGAATCTATATTCACAAATTTTGAAATATATATATATATATATATATATATATATATATATATATATATATATATATATATATATATATCATTGCGCTGAAGAAACGGTGCCACTGATGACACCGTTATTCCAGGCGGGCAAAGCTGGGTCGTTTTGGACCTGGGTCCATGGCATAACAATTGAGGTGGGCAATTTATATCGTGGACTAAGGTCCACATAGCATTGTGGATCCGACTTGGATCAAAATGGCGTTGTTTTGATCTTTAATTTTAACTGATTATGCAGTTTTCTCGTTTCTAATGTCTCTATACAGCTACTAATCTATCCTAAGTATAGAATTCGTACTCTTAAGGTTTAGAATTTCATAATACAGGACACAAAAAACTCACACCACATACACATGTAATATATATTTACTTTTATTTTCAAATCTGATTTAGGTAGAGAATTTATGTTCTATAGGTACACAAGACATAAATTCATAACATAAGGCACATAATATGTTGTGTGTTACATAACTACTAATCTATTCTAGGTACAAAATTTTATATCACAAGACATACACATATTATATAATGTATTTACTTATTTTCAAATTTGATTTAGGTAGAGAATTGTGTTCTATAGGCATGGAATTTCACAACACAAAATATAAATTCATAACATAAGACACACAATATGTTGTGTGTTACATAGCTACTAATTTATTCCAGGTACAAAAGTGATACTCTTAAGGTACAAAAGTTCATAATACAAACACAAAACAAATACACATGCTTTAAGTTTAAACAGATATGTAACGTGAATTGAACAACTAAACGTTTGTTGTCAAAATTAAATCAAAAATGACGTCGTATAGGACTAGGGTCCACAATGCACTGTGGACCCTAATCCATGGTATAAGGATCCGTCAAGCTAAGGGTAGGTAGAAAAAAAAGTATAATGGTCGGTCGGATGATGGATATAGTCAACCCTGACCCACCTCGACCAAGTGTCAACCTACTTATAAAAAATATAAATAATATTTTTTTTTCTTTTTTAAAAAACTTTTCATTAATGTTATCTACCAATAGTTGGTCATCATAATAATTTAATTTTCACTAAAACACAATAGATAAAGAAACAAAAATAAATATGATGGGTAGAACATTCACTACTGGAAATTATGAAATTTTTGACCACCTGAAAGTGATCTTAAATCAAGTTAAAAGTCTTGTTCCGACCACTTTTGGTATCCGGAAAAACCTTTGTTGCTATTTCCGACCACTTTTTGGTATCAACTTAATTTAAGATCACTTTCAGGTGATCGAAAATTCCATAATTTCCACTAGTGATTTTGGTGGTTCAAAGATCAACTTCCGCCTAAATGGCCAGCTTAAGCTCATATTTTTTCGAGACTAATTGAGGATATGCATCGTTTCACTCATGGAAAGTACATCTAAAAAGATTTTGATCTGATTTTAAGAGATCACTTTCTTAATGATTTAAATTAGGAAATTACTTTAATGTCCATAATTTGTGGGATTTACTTCCTAGTTTAGGCTGAATATTTTAATTAGTCAATTGAAATGTAAAAGTACCCTAAAAAAGGACTTTGTAAATAGTTTTGAATCTTTTATACCCAAAGCAATAATAGTAAAGTGCATTATATTAACCATTGAAGTCTGTGATTGAAAGCCTCTCTCCCACAGGGTACAAAGTGACGAATTGAAGGTCGTCGAATACCACCGTGAGGAAAAACACAAACTTTTCATCATCATCAACTTTACATATTACAATAAATATTTCTAAAAAAATTAAAAATAATTACCATAGGACTCCTTTGCTTCATACCCCATATTTTTGAGTTAGCTAGTTAATAATAATAACACAATATATATAGGGAAAGACTATGATGTTTTCTCTTCTCGTCCTTGAAAAGAAAATACGGGGGTCAATTTTAACCAAACAAAAAACCGTCTTTTTTTTGCGACGAAAATAACCCCATTTTCCGATACTAGGAGTAAGAGACACCGAAATTGCGGTTTGTTTTCTTGGGTTTTTACCTAAGCATTGACGTTAGAGATTCGAAGACGTGTTCGTCGCAAGGGATGGTGAGACCCATGTCGTGATCGAAGCCGAACTCTTCCTCGGCTCGCCGGAGAAGGCCCTGGAACTCCGGCCGGGTCAAGAAAGAGATGGGAACAATGTAGCGGCTCCGGTTAGCTCCGACGTAGACGACGAAGTGTCCCTTGGGCACGTCGAGGGGGAGGCCGACAACCTCGTCTTCATCGTCGTAGCCATGATGTTTCTTTCCCAAGCTGGAGCAGCGCTTGACGATCTGCTTGATCATTGCCTTTTGCGACGATTTGTTCGATTTCGTCACGCCCATTTTGGGAGGAGCAACTTTAGTTTCTTGACAAAAGGTGGAGACTAGAGAGACACTTTTTTGTGTTCTCTCTTGGGAATAAATGTTGTGTTAGAGAAGAAGAAGAAAAGAAAGTGTGGTGGGAATGAGAGGAGTGAAAGGGGTATTTAAATTGGAAGTTGGGGATTGCTATTATTACTTTCAAGGATAAAAGAGTAATATTACACATTTTTACTTTTTTACGAAAAAAATTGCAATCACTATTTAAATACATATTTTGAGTGAAATTCGTTTTGTGACCCTAGTCAGAAGGTTCGAAGTTTCACCCCTAAGTGAAGCTCGCCTTGTGACCTTACCAGCAAAAGATCAAACATGTAAATCAGATTAGGTTATCTATAGCTGATTGACTCAAACCAAGAAGGTCACTAGTTAAATAATTTTCACAGAGAGTTAAACTTGAAATCTTGTAATTATCAAATTAATTGTCTAAATAATTTTTATTCTTTTTTTTTTCCTCTTTCTAATAAAATCAAAATGTGTGACAAAAATTTTACTCAATAAGAACACACTAATTATTTTTGAAGGTAAAGAAAGTAAAAAAGAGAGGGCATGTGAGGGTGTGGGGGGCAAAGAAGAGACAAGAAGGGTGTTTTTGGGGGGAGAGCAAAGGCTTAAAAGGAAATGGTGGGAGGCAATGACATTGGGCTTATTGCCATTTGTTGGCCTCTATCTAGGACAAAAATAGACCATTTATCTCATTTTTCGAAAAAGATTATGTTATGTGTATTTAATTTAATTAAGTTTACCTCATTAAATGCTCTCTTAAAAGTAAAGGAAAACGGTAGCTGTACCTTTAAAGGACACTCAATTAGGGGCGGCATAATTTGGATCATCTGAATTATCATTTGAAATTAATCTAAACTAAATTTTAAATTTTAGATGAATCTGAATAGTTATTAGTTTAAATATTTTAAAATTTGGTATATTCAAACATAAATTTGATTCGGATATCGAGTATTAAAATATATTTATACCCGAACTAACTGAAATTTTATTATAAATATAATAATATAAATTATATATTTAATTTTAAATGTATTTCATAATTAATAATATCTTAATTTTCATAAGTCTCTTAATTAGTAATTATTCTTTTGTCTTATTTTTAGTTTCATAGTATATGGAAAAATATAATAAATACAAAAATAATAAAATTATTAAAAACTCAATATTGATAAAAAATAAAATTTTAGGTATATCAAAACTAACTCGGAATAATTTCATCCAACGAAATATATCCGAATTAAATTTGGTTCGGATATCGGGTGTCAAAAATATCACTTGAAATTTTCATATATCCGAAATAAAATTTCGATGTCACCTGAACCGAACCGACGCCCACACCTACATTCAGTTCACAAAATGTATTATTACTTTGCAGAATTACATTTTAAAATGTAAAACCAAATTATGAAAATATAAGATAACTTAGTTTGTTTAGTTAAAATTGTAAGGATGTGTCTGAACAGATGGTCAGGTAGGTAGATTATGATTTTTAATTTATATTTGGATAGTTATGCGTTCAATTCTTGCTAACACTTTCTTGGTTGAGTCTATCATATAAGGTTTTTTAAGTATACAGACCTTTGAATAATAATTATGGCTTCCCACCTCATTTAAAAAAAAAAAATCATTATAAAAAATTATATATGTGTTGTATACAAGGCAAAATTGAGATATTTAAAACTAATAGTACAATAATTAAGAAAATGTAAGTAATGGCATTATCTTCATTATATCTCATTTTCTTATATGACAATAATGTTATAATACCATATGTTAGTTTGGGAAGAATAGTACCATATGTTATCACATAACTTGAACAACAAAATATACTCCTAATTACAAAAAAGTTATGATTTTCATATCTCGATAACAGCAAAGTCGTAAAATATTGTTGCAATTTTATTCATATTTTCCAATTAGCATGTATTTTAGGTTAAAGTTACATATAGATATTCTTTTTTAAAACTAATTGAGATTCATAGTTTTGTTGTTCAACGACTAAGAATTATAAATTTTTTACAAAGTTAAGAATATACTAGATAATAACACTTGGAAAAACAATTAAAACAATACAACTAAAAAATTAAAAACATATTTTCCCCAAAAATTTGCAATTTACAATTGTAATGGTCAAATAAGAGAAGTGGATAATTTCTTTAAAAATAACTTTTCATATAATAATCGACAAATCATACAAAATAAGTAAAATAATATTAAAAAAATATAATATGACATATTCAATCAATATAAATAGATAACAAAAATCAAACTCATAACTTTTAAATATGTTTCGCTTGCTTGGTGAACCTTTTCGGGGCTTTAAAGCAGTTTTCTAGTGTGTAATAATTCCTTCTTCCACCTCTAGCCAGGCGGTTCCATGTCGGGGTTTAAGTAGAAAGTGGACAACCATCATAACATCCACTACTTTGTTCTTTTACTATAAGCACTTACACAAGATAAAGATATGTATTTTACATAAGACACGTGCAGAGAGTTTATTGAATAGTTATGCTGTGCATCCGTACGTACGGATGCAAAAACGACATGGTTTTATTAAAAACGTGTGTCTTTTCTTAAAAAAAAAAAAAAAAAATCAGGTTCGATTCCCAGCAACAACATTATGTTGTTCATTCATTCTGGAATTTTAGTTCATAGATTATGGAATTTCAGTTCATTGATTCTGGAATTATAGTTCATCGATTCTGGAATTGTAGTTCATTGATTTTGAAATTTTAGTTCATAGATTATGGAATTTTAGTTCATTCATTCTGAAATTTTTAGTTCATAGATTAGATTCTGGAATTTTAGTTCATAGATTTTGGAATTATAGTTCATCAATTCTGGAATTATAGTTCATCGATTCTGGAATTTTAGTTCATATATTGTTGCTGAGAATCGAACCTGATTTTTTTTAAGGGGAGACGCGCATTTTTAATAAAACGACGTTGTTTTTGCATCCGTATGCACCATGCATGGTGCATACGGATGCACATCGTAATTTGCCGAGTTTATTCATCACATATTCACATAGTTGTTTTTCTTAATATAAAATTATTTTACCAAATTTATAATGTATTACACTTTAAATCTCTTTGGAATAAGTTCAAATAAGCTCTTAAAATTATCTGAAAAGTCAATTAGGCCTCTAAACTTTTAAAAAGTGTAATTACATCCTTTAACATGTTATATTATAAACTAATAACCTTGTGTTCTAGTGGCACAAAGTGATTTTCTCATATCCGGTCATGAGTTTAATCCCCCGTAGGAGCGGTATTGACTCTTTTTGCTTCTGTAGGTTGAGAAAGTAGTAGTTTATGAACAGATAATAGTACATTGTAACAGAGTCAGTGGTATTTAAAAAAATATGTTATATTGAAACAACGAAGCCAAAAAAAACTGATAAATGAACTACTATTACATGTCATTAGGGTTTCAACATCAATTTTATCATCTCCGGCGGCCGGTGACAGTTCAGTACGTTGTCACCGACCACCGGATTGTTGCCAGAGATGATAAAATTGACGCCATAATTCTAATGACATATAATAACAAGTTATTTGTCGGTTTTTGAATTTCATTACTTCAATATAATATGTTAAAGAGCGCAATTGTACTTTTTAAAAATTTAGAGGTTTATTTGACTTTTTTCCAATCTCTTTTAATTTATGGGAAGAATCGCAGCTGCTACCCAAATGGTGATATATAATACTTCAAATCTCCTATTACTGCAACTTCTTGATATTGATGATATATATTTTTAATTGGTACTATATGCATTTATTTTGATACAATTACCTAAAAATGCTAAACAAAAATTTGGAATACATCTCACTTGAACTAAATGTATGGTAGAATTTCTATGCAATAAATTTTAAAAGAGTTAATTCTATTTGCAGCTCTACAATTTTAGATTGAGTTAATACCCAAAATGGTCCCTCGACTATACTATAATTACTAATTTGGTCCTCAACTATCATTCTTACCTAATTAAGTCCTCAATTATGTAACTTTTACTCAATTAAGTCCTCAACTATACAATTCTTACCCAATTTAGTCCTCAACTATACAATTCTTACCCAATTTAATCATCTGTATTAATTTGACTGTTTGTTGACTGTCAAAAGTCGTGATAAAATTATAAATTTACAAGATTTCTCCTTCCTCTCTATTTAGCAGCGCCAAACCATGCAGTAATACACTCCGATCAGATTTCGATCGTCAAAAATCGTTGGAAATCAAATTCATGGGCTATTCGATGCATAACCACTACTTCGATACTGACAGGTTTAGAACCCAACCGGAGCTTATTGCTACATGGTTTGGCGCTGCTAAATGAGGAGGAAGGAGAAAACTGGTAAAATTACAACTTTATTTCCACTTTTGACAGTCAACAAACAGTCAAATTGACAAAGGACTAAATTGGGTAAAAATTGTATAGTTGAGGACTTAATTGGGTAAGAATGATAGTCGAGGATCAAATTGGTAATTACGACATAGTCGAGGGACTATTTTGGGTATTAACTCTTTTAGATTTGAGATTACAACTTTTAGTTAAAATGCATATGGCTATTGACTTGAGAAATTGTTCCAAATTTGGGGAAAAAATATTCATCACGTTAGGCTCTCAAATATGTTATTGAAAAATTAAAAGTAAACGACTTCATAAGTAGATGACAAATATGTTGGGCACATATGTATCTGTGAGATATTTAATCAATCCAAGGTGTTGAGGAGTCAATACTTGAATAGGGGTACGATCAATTAGTTTTAACGAAGTATCATTGCATTCATGCCACTCTTACTATGGTACAATTTGAAAAGTACAACATTTTCTTTGATTTATGAGAAAGTCTTTAATTATTATTCAAAGGTACGTTCTGAGTAAAACACGTTTTGTAATCCTAGCCAGCAAAAGACTATAAGGAGATAAACTAGAGTTCAGTGAAGTTTGTCTAGTGATCTAGCCGACAAAAAGACATAAGGAGATAAGTCAATAACCTAGGTTGTTCATAGTTGACAAGCTCAAATCAAGAATGTCTATGGACAAC